CCCCCGCAGACAACAGCATCCCGTAGCACATTGTCCCTTTGGGCAAACACATGCACAAAATAACCACCAAGTGGGGATGACCAACCCTCTCCCAGGGAGCTCAAGGCCTGCCTCTAATTGGCATGCAGATAACCCAATGTCCCGTCGCACATTGTCCCCTTGGGAAAACACATGCACAACCTGCCCACCAGGTGGGAATGACACACACGCTCCCAGGGAGCTCCAGCTCTGCCTCCCATAGGCATGCAGATCACCAAGTGTTCCACACCTTTGCTCACAGGGAGCCTCACACACAAATGCATGCCCTCCATAGACTGTAGTGACAGCACTCCGCTAGCACTCATCATTTGCGCATAGGATCAAGCCCAGCCCATATAAATCTACACCATTACTTTCCAAGACAAGAAAAATACAATAACTATGCCTCCTCCAAGTCAAATGTGAACATAAAGCACTCGGACTGACATAACTGGGGAATGACATGAAGATCTTCAAAAGAGAAATGCATATCCGCTGGAATTGATTAACATACCTCAGATCTAATATTAGGCGCAGCTTCCCATTTTTCTTTGGAACCACACCCAAAGGACTGACCACAACTAGGCTCGCCAGCAGGGCTTTCTCAATGGCACCCGACAAACATAAATCCCGTATATGGGAGAACACAAGCTCAGCATGGGAGAAAACAGAAGGGGAATTACAGATGACCTTTGGAGGAGGAAGGGCAGTGAAACCCAAAAATAACCACACCCAATAATCTTCAATCCAAACCCTGACGCACCAATACCACGCCAAAAACTAGCACATGGCTTAAGCCGCCCGTGCACACTTATCTTATTGTGGGTGCTGGGCTGGCATGAGGGCTGCTGCCGCTGATGAAGATGCTGGGGCCGCCGAATTGCCCATTGGCTGCTCCACCAAGTCACGGTTGGTGTTGCTGAGGACTACGCTGCTGGCTGGGGCATACTCTGGCCATGTAACCCACCTGTCCACAGGCATAGCAGAGCCCAGAACTCCGCCTCCGTCTCCGAACGCCCCGAAGCCAGTTCTTCTTCGGCCGAACTGTGCAGGCGGCCGCGACATTATACTGCTGGCATGGGGTGCGAACATTCCGCTGCTGATGCTCCCACGTGCTATCAGGACGTGCTGCTATCCGCCGTGCTGTGGCGGCCACCTCAGCAATCCTCTTGTCATCTGCCATCCCGTCACCCAGCACACCGTTTTCATATACTTCGACTGTTTTCCAATCGTAAGCGTCCGCAATCCGGAGATGCTTCTGGCGGAGGGTCAGGGTCGCCTCACATTTTGCTAGGTATGCTGCTGCGTCATGACCTGATCGCAGTTGAATGAGCGCTCCTTCCACGCCATCAAGCACAGTTTGGTTTACGTCGAATTGTTTTTGCAGGCCAGCTTGCTTCAACGTGACCTGGTTCGACTTGGAGGTTGCCAGCTCAGCCCGCGCAGCCCCCATCTCCCTCTTGACGTCCAGGATCTCCTCTGACAACTGTCCGAAGGCCTGCGCGAACCAAGCTGGCGGGGAGCCGGCAACTTCCCGGGAATCCATCATGACAGGATCCGGGGCAGGTACTTGCTCCTCGACGTTGCCAGCACGGATACGCTTTGGGACCGTGCCCACAGCCCCAGGTGAGGCGGACCGGGTCCGCTTTTATCTGGGTGGAACTGGGATTTGAACCAGGGGTGCAAGCGACACGCTTGCCAGCGAGTTTTTACTTCTCGTTTGTGGCATGGTCAAGCTCTTCCACGGACGAACAAAATGCAAATTACAACGAAAAGAGAAAGACCACGGTGAAGAGAAAAGTTTGAGAACACTGACAAAAAACCAGCTGACGCAATCCTGGTGCCGTAACTATGGTGAAATAACTGGCAAAAAAATACATTTTTCGTTTCATTCACTACGCTCAGCCAACGAAAAATAACACTTTTCCGATGCCCGGGCAAGTGTCTTTATACGCAAAGTTGACTGTAGTACAGTAACGAGTGAGTTGGTCTGAGACCTGGCAAAACCTCGCTGCCCATTTTGGTCATTTGCTGACAGTGCAGGTAGCCTATCAACTACCTGCCGTTTCCATGTAGACATCAATGTTCTAAAAGAACTAGAAGGGAATGAGATCAACGTGGCGTTAGTAAAGTTCCGCATTCTTCTCATGTGGTTACGCGAATCAGAACCCCTCCCCCCCCCCCCCATACACACAGATAATTATGAACATGGACACGCGAACAGGCTCATACATTAAACAAACCGGAACTGATAATAACCTCTCATGCCCCATACTGGGTACCCGTACACCTACACCACTTTCAATCACTGTGCTTGTTAATACTTCAAGTATAATAAGAATAATAAAATAATGTAACTTAACCAACCAGCATGATGTTGGTCACACTAATAAACCTCCCAACCTTGAAATGATATAAGAAATATTGCGTAAGCTTTCGTGTTATCGGGTTCTTGCCCGTTTGAAGTTGTCTGACATGTGCCAAAACCTCCCTGTCCAACTTGGTCATTTGCTATGACAGGGGCACGTAGCCTGTCCACTTCGTGTTGTGAACTTCGGTTCGCTGCTTTGACGTGCAGTGAACCTCCCTCACACACACATACACCCACACACACACACGCACACACGCACGCACACATACACACACGCACACACGTACACACACACACGCACACACGCATGCACACACACGCACACACACACGTGCACGCACACACCCACACAGATATATAATTATAAATATGAGCCCGCAAACACGCTGGTAGTACAAATAATATTTATAACCTAATTCCTTACACCCAGTACATCTACACTTCCTATGCTTTAAATCACTGTTCTAGTGAGCTGCCCAGCATGATATTTGGTCCACTACTACACGTAAGCCTCCCAAACTTTTAATGACAAATATTATGATACGTATGGAATATCCAGTCCTCCGCCTAAGCTGTTTAGATTAATTGAGTAATATATAGCTCTCTATCATACGCTGATTTTGTCATCCCTTTTCCTCGCGCTATTGAAATGTACCTCCATCACCTTTGCCCCCTTCTCCCCCTCTCCGTATATATTCTAGTGATTGTTTAGTCTTGGTCATATGCTGTCTGATGAAATGTTTTGACAGGAAACTCGGAGTTACAGCGGAATGAGACTTGTTTGATTCATTGCTGTGTAATAATTATGTGTAGCTCTCTATCATATATAGAGGCCACAAAATACCAGGGAATTCCTAAGTGCAATTGTGTGTTACTTTCACGCAGTACAACAATGCTAGGACATTTCTCCGTCGTAGTACTGTGTTTATGGTTGTGGGACCTAGTATCATCATTCTGTATTAGTGCAACATACATGTAGAGGAATGAACGAGCGCAGCAAATCCAAACAACCCTTGAGGATCAAAACTGCTCGGATTTTAGGAACATTTAGTGTGATTATTAAAGCTCCCAAGGCTGGGCCCTGTCCCTTTCGGCCTACGTGACTTGACATTTTGGCCGACTGACGACTGGCATCACACTGCTATCTGGTGTTCACGATTGGTTTGCCGAAAAAGGAAGCAGAGAGTCACCGCACGTTTTCATACTTCTTTATGATCTATACTGAAGTGCGCAGTGCAGCAGAGAACGCAATGGTAAAACAGAACCAAGGGAAAATATATGACAATACAGCGGATAGCCGGAACAGCTGGCTGATGAATTGGGCCTGGTTATTTTTTGTATCTGGAGTGCACTAGAAGTGGTGCTCTTCAGGCACAATCTTCCTCGGTCTTCTCAGGCTCAACTGATGTTTTGAGACTTTTCCGAAGCGATGTGTTTTGGGCTACTGGTACGCCGCAGTTCCTCATCTTTTGTTTTCCTTGTTTTCCCACCCTCCATTCCAATGAGGAGCTTTGTATGGTTCCTCACAGGGGTCATGACAATAACAATGCTGGGTTACTCTGTGTGATAGATGTCGCGATATTGCTGCGACAGTATAGGTTATAAATTGTGCATGGCGTGGTATTTGCGGGTGCTCTGTCGATTGTAGCACTTTTCTGTTTAATCCGCCTTGAACAACGATGTCATCCTCTAGGTGTTGGTTTTTGCTGGATGTTTTCTGTCTATGTTCTGGATACAAGAGTGCCACCAGCGTGTCTGTGGCTGTCCCATGCAGTTGTTCATTTGTTCTGTGATGAGCGTATGACTTTGTGTATGCCAGTGCGTGTGTGTGTTGCATACATGTATAATTGAGTGCGTGTGTGTGTGAGAGAGTGACCGTTGGATTTAGCGCGTGAAAGGTAAAATGCCATGTCTCCCCACACAAAAAACGGCACAGGCCGACCGTGGAAAATAGCGTGAACGCTAACCATGTACAATATCTCAACAGTTAACGTTAAGAAAACTGGGTGTCTAGAATTATTCGGAAAACCAAAGCACGATTTATACAGGGAGTGGAAAGAAAACGCATGACTCCGCGCTCATACAAACGTGCAATACGTACTAACACAGCGATAAATGGTGAACACTATTATTATAACATACTGGATTTAGGTGTGTGTGCTACATAATGAGATCCAGCTGTTGACATCGGAAGATGTAAATATCTCTTTGAGACGCTCTATTTTGAGTAAGCCTGACATGTGTTGTCTAGGATATGACACATACAAAATACGTGCAGTGCAAGCTTTTTACCGATCCGAAACAGCTGCCTGTCATCAATGAGTGGTATTGTATCTGCGCACATTCAGTTGTTCGTTGTTGAGAATCTCGGCTCTGTGGATATTACGTCAACACACGAAAGTTGCTATCATAGCCATATGCCAGGTTACTGGCACTCTCGGCTCAGTGAACAAGGATACATCACGTCAGCACAAATATTTGCTATCGTAAACACATCCGAGGTCACTACCATGTTTGCGTGTGAACAGGGGAGCTGCACAGCAGAACGGAGTTCCGTTTGGACGTGCGCTGCTCTTACTGTCTCTACCATACTGTATCGATGGATGCGAGAATATTCTGGAAATCCGTTGATATCCCTAAGGACGGTGTTTAGGATTGTTTCGAGGTAGCGCTGTGTCGCCATACAAAGTATCCATGCAGTACTGGCACGCACGAGGCCACCAGATCTTTTGCTATACGGGGGGTTATGTGACGCATCGATGTCTGCATGCTGACATGAACAGTCGCCGCTGCAGCATGACGATTGATAAGGAACTATTGATGAATATTCTCCGCCATTCGCCTTTCGACCCTCTGTAACAAACTTGGATTTATCCCTGTTATCTGATTGCAATTGTTGTGTGGAAACGAGCGATCATTAAGGACAATTCCACCATGGTTAGACTCGGGAATATCCCGATTACACTGTGCCTTCTGTGTATCCTTCAATGGCATGAATTCATTGTGAGCGGTGCAGCTGCTCATGACGTTGCTCCCACCACTGCAGTCAATGACAGTGAAAATCAAGGTAGGTTTTATAAAAACATAAGGCATTATTGAGGTTTCGCATTCTGAATTTCGGTACATCGTTCTTCGGTCATTTGTTGAACATCAAAATGTCGAATTTTCGCACCAACGTTTGTTTTGAAAGTCGAAAATGATGTGTTTTTATTTCGTGAGCCTCAGCCCCAGCAACGTCCTGTCCCGTGCTCCTTTTCTTGCTTATTCCAACGAACTTTGATCGGCCAAAGAGTCGAGGGCCAAACCTGCCTTCTCAGTCTTCTCAGAAGAACCAACTCCATGGCCAAGTCAATTTTTATGGGTGTCGCCCTAGTCTTTTCCGCCACACAGATGACGGTGAGAACACTCCAGGCGAAAGAGAGGTTGTATTTCTCGCCGGCCGAGCGCAGTGAAGTACGCGAGAAATGATTTCTCGCGAAATATTTTCAGTTGCAAATATGGCATCTGGTGTGTTCTTTATTGTCGCTTCTTTTCTGACTTCTTCAGTCAGTTTTTGAGTCTCACCAGTGTCCCTGCCCTCCCACCGTTCATTTCTGCGCATATTTTCTTTGTTTTTTTGTTTTTTTTGGCCGTGATGTGCTTGCCATGCCTACATGATGCATAATCGCCATTGGAGATATACACGCGGTTTTTTCCCTCACAACTGCGTCCGTCGGCGAGAGGGTTTTTTCCCGGCTGGCTCGGTCAAGAAAATTAATGTGATGGTCCCAAGTGGTTCTGCATCATGGCCTATTTCTGCTATCCACTGATACGCCTATCCTATCTGAGACACTCTGTTCTCAGTCCTTGCTTCTATACCTCACTCGTTATCCAGTTCACATCTGCCTGCGGCCAACTACCCTTCAGTTTGTGTAGTGTCGCTATTGCTGTCTATGTCTCTGTGTGTGCCAGTATATGTAGAGCGAGAATAGAGAGGCAGTGGAGAAGAGTAATCAGAGGTAGCTGACAATGCCATGTCGCCAAAGACGCCTTCCAAGCTATGCCGAGATAAGAAACCTCTTTGAGTAAATCACGCGCTAGCGCTCTTCTACAAGAAAATGCATCCGAAAAATGTTTTCCGCAAAGTGAGCTTTTTCCGAACAAACACGCCGAATCTTCGTGTGCATTACCGACCTTGCTCCTGCGTGGCGAATCTTTTTGCCGAATTAAAGAATGCAAAACCTCACTGTTAACCTACGTCACTCGCATGTATTGTCTCGTGATGAGTGACAGTAGAATAGATGTTGTTCCAGTTTTAGGACGACGGCACATAGATCTAAGTCTCACCGTTTGTTGATTATAGAAATACTCATCACGAATGCTCAATATCACTATCATCAAATCATGCTTACGTCACGGTGTTCCCTGTAGACCATTAGCACATTGTCGGCACATGAGGAGTTGTGTTTGCCCGCCAGTAGACCCTCTACCAACCCTGTAAAGAATTTTCTCCAGATGTTGGTGTTGAAGAGCCTGAGGTTTGTACTCCTGCAGTTTGTGCTCCTTGTTACAACTGTACGCGGACTTGCTGGATTTTGAACTTAACATTTAGGGTAATAACATAGTAGGCTGTCAGAAACTGTTTTCATTCTCTGTTAAGAGAGCATGTCTGAGAATACCAAAGTATGTGTGCAAGTGGTTCTCTCCGATTTCGCTCAAAATTTGCAGGTAGGTTCCCTTTGTGGTGTGGATTGATTGTGCAAAGCCCTTGAAAAAATGTCTGAAGGGAACCTTGAAATTTGCATACCCCTCGAAAATGGCCGAAATATCACAGTATTTATGGGTCTAGAAACGAGTCACGCCACAGCGTATCCGAACAAGCTATGAACAAAACTCCATCAAGCCAACATTGCCTCACCTTAGAAGAGTTCCTGGAGCAGTACCGCTTAGCCACGCCAGGATCCCAGAAGACGAGGTCCATCACTGTAACAGTATAGACTTGATTGATTGGAGAATTCGTCGAATGATGTTCAAACCAGAGGTTATAAAGCAAAAGAAAGGTGAGAACCGCAGGAGTGAGAATAGTAGGAACACAAGGTGTTACCATAAGACAAGCAAGAAGTGTCAAGGTAAAACTATTACACTCTCCCGGCCCCATAGGAAGCCCAAGGTTCTATTAGATAACACAATCCAGTTAGGAGATGCAATTGTGGAAAGGGGAATATTAAATAATCACTCATGCACATGCATAACCACATTGAAGTGTAATCCAACTCAACTTCATCACTCTCACAAGGAGATGACGCAAAACTATATCAGTCTATAACATAATTATTAACTATCTCTGTAAGAGATGCATATGGCTCAGCCCAGTTAGATCAAGGTTGCTGTCGTTGTGAGGCTAGATAGTTCTGCAGCGGTTTAATATTCCGACCAGACTCATCACATAGGTTGCCAGCGGGCTCCCACGTAGCTTCGCTGCTGGGGTAACCCTTCCAATGCACCAGGAAGTGTTGCTCACCACTGCGGTGTCGGTGATTCAAAACGGCTTCGACAACATAGCGTGTGTGTCCATCTAGATCTGTGAAGGGCGGAGGCGGGGGTTGGTGTCTTCCAGGAATCGTGTTCTCTTCGTAGCGTTTAAGAGCAGTGACATTAAACACGGGATGGCAGCGAAGTTCACGGGGTAGTTCCAAGCGAAAAGCATTCGCTCCAATCTTAGCCTGGATACGATACGGACCAAACCACTTGGGTTGCAACTTCCGAGAGGGCTGGCCACGAGCTTCCGGGGTCAGTAGAAAGTCTCTGTAGACAAGAACGCTATCACCAACCTTCAAATCACTGTGCGTTCTCGTCTGGTCTGCGTATAGAGCTTGCCTTGCCTGGGCGTCGACCATAGCATCTCGAGCTATCCTTAGTGCGGCTTCCTGCTCATGAAGCCAATCGACCGAATCACTCCTTTCCCCTCCCGTAAGAATGAATTCGGGAGGGGACTTAGGGTCAAACCCATAGTTCAGATAGAACGGTGTATTAGCTACAGATGACTGTTGTGAACTATTTATTGCAAACTCGCAGAGTGGTAGAAGCGAATCCCAATTGTCCTGTCTCAAGTTCACAAATGCTCTTAGAACATCTCCCACTTGCCGGTTAACTCTCTCTGTCAAACCATCCGTTTGAGGGTGGTTAGCAGTGCTGAATGCCAATTTAGTTCCTAGCTGAGAGAATACTTCTTTGAAAAAAGCTGCAGTGAATCGTGGATCGCGATCGGAAACAATGGTTGAGCTCAGCCCGTGCAGACGAAACACGTTTTGAATGTACAGTTGAGCGCTGCCCTTAGCATCAATCTTCGAGTTTGTTGGAACAAGATGTACGCATTTCGTAAGTCGGTCCACAAAGGTGTAAATTGCGTCGAAGCCACGAGAAGTAAGGGGCAATCCAACAATAAAATCCATTGAGATATCCTGCCAAGGACTATTAGGTATTGGAAGTGACTGGAGAAGCCCTGTTCGTGGCTGACCTCCCTTCGTTCGCTGGCAGAGATCACAGGTTTTGACAAATCTCTTGATATCGAGACCCATTCGGGGCCAGTAGAAAAAACGTGCTAGGCGGAAGTACGTTCGATCACGACCCGGGTGGCCAGCCGTTGCACACTCATGGTGTTCTTGAATGAGCTTTAACCGGACACCGCACTGTGGTATGCACAACCGGTTATTGGGGGATGCCTTGAGGTACAAGCGATCAGTGGATTCGTCCCAATAATAGCGATCATGCAAATTATCTCGGAGAGAATGCTTCAATCTTTCTATGATGGGAGTTAGCTCTTTGTCTCTCTGGTAGGCATCTGATATTGTATTGGACACGTCATCATTCATTGCTAAAGCATACTCAATAGCATTCAAACGTGGTACTGCATTCTCCACGAGGTTACTCTCATGGAGATCTGGGCGACGCGAAAGGGGATCTGCAGGGTTCTCTCTGCCGGGTCTGTGACGGACTGTGTAGTTATAGTCAGCTAGGAATTCAACCCATCGCGCCTCTCTCTTTGTAATGCTTGGTTTTGTTTTCAGATAAACTACCGCCATGTTGTCTGTAATGACCTCAAGGTGTTGAAAGAGGTAGATGCGCCAGGTCTTTAGCGCAAACACTACGGCCAATGTTTCTCTTTCTGTAGCTGTATAATTCTGTTCCGCAGCAGACAATTTTCGGCTAGCATAAGCCACTGGATGCCAGGCATCTTCCTCTAGTTCTTGGAGAAGAACACATCCCAAGGCGAAATCGCTTGCATCTGTTACCACTCTGAATGGTCGGTTCACATCAGCCAGCCGCAATAGGGGCGCATTCAACAAGGCATGCTTTAGCGATTCAAAGGCATGTTGCCGAGAGCTGTTCCACTCGAATCGTGCATGTTTTCCCGTTATCTCCTCTAAGTTCTTAGAGAGCGATGAGTATTGATCTATGAATCGCCTAAAATAATTCGTAAATCCAAGAAATTGCCTCACCTCTGTGACGGAAGTCGGAGCGGGCCAGACCTTTACTGCGGCAATCTTGTCTGGGTCAGGGGCGATGTGTAGTCCATCGATGCAATGTCCCAGGAACCGCACACTCTCCACGCCAAATTCACATTTTGACCGTTTGCAAAATAACTGGTTGTCCCGGAGCACGCTCAATACCGACCGGACATGCTGCATATGCTCCGACCACGTTTTGCTGAAGATGAGTATGTCATCTAGGAACACGACTACGAACTCCCTCAGATATGGTTGAAGAATCGTATTCATCATGGATTGAAATGTTGCCGGTGCATTGGTGAGACCAAATCCCATGACCCTAAATTGGTAATGCCCAAAGAGAGTGTTAATCGCGGTTTTGGGCACGTCCTCAGCTTGAATGCGAATCTGATTATACCCTGATCGGAGGTCTAGTTTCGTGAAGTACCTAGCGCCCTGTACGGTATCGAATAAATCATCCACATTGGGCAAGCACGCCTTGTTCTTAACAGTTATCTTGTTTAGCTCCCTCCAATCGCAGACCATGCGTAACGAACCATCAGCTTTCTTGACAAAAAACACCGGTGCACCAAAGGGGGACTTACTTGGTTCTACGAAACCCTTTTTCAAGAGTTCTGTGAGCTGTTTCTTCAATTCCTCCATTTCTGGCCTGGGCAGGCGATAGGCAGGTCGCGATGGGGGTGATGAGCCTTCCTCCAGGCGGATTTCGTGGTCTACAGACCTCTCTGGTGGGAGTCTAGCTGGCAGATCATCCGGGAAAAGATCGTCATAGTCACGGAACATGGCCTTGAGATCTGGGTGCTCGTTCTGAGTGGATTTGTCGGGAGGTTCCTTGCCAATGCCGTCTTCTACGCTGACCCACGCCAGAACACCTTCGTCTCCACTCCTAAGGGCATGCCTAGCCTGACGACCAGATATGAACATCGCCTCCACAGGAGCGGTCGGTTCGCTTTGACTGGGCGACGCACAAGGCAAACCATTCGAGTTCAACCTGACTTCATTCGTCCGGAAGTTTATGTCTGGATTGTTACGCGTTAACCAAGGTTTCCCCAATATAGCGTCATAGCGATGAAGGGGGAACACCGTGAAGGTTTGGTTATCGCTGAAGTCGCCTACGATAACCTTCAATTCATGGGTCGTCTCCATGGGAAACGAGCTTGATGCTCCATCAGCCAGCGTGACATTCAGGTTTTCCGAGCCAATTTCGGTTGGCAGGTTAACTCTCCTGGCAAACTGTTCGGCAATGAAATCATGGGTCGAGCCCGAATCTATTAACATAAGCGCGCGACGACCGTTGATTTTGCCTTCTACACGCAGGAGCTCATGTTCCGTTTCCACATTGACGCTGGTAACCTGGGCCTCAATAGTTGGTGTAACATCTCGCTTGAAATTGGCTTCGGAGCATTCAGCATCATCGTCAACATCCTCCACAGCGAGGCTACTGAATCGGTTACGGGTAGAGACGGAGCACACACTACACGCAGGTGATGCCTTTTCTTGCTGCGTCAGTAATCGCATCGGCCTTACTGACGTCCACCGTTTGGGTGATCTCGATGCTGCGGGCAATTCTGGGCCATATGGCCTGGTCGACGACATGCGAAGCAGCCCCCCTGGGCTCGTAATGTCTCACGTTCCTCGGGGCTTAGTTTTGTTAGCTTTTTGCTACCTGATGGTGGTGCGAATCCCGGCGCGGTCGCCAGTGGTGGTCTGCGCTGAAATCGGCTGTCTGAGGCGACTGCTAGCGCTGACTGAACGGCGGCTGACAGTGTAGTGGGGTGTTCCTTCACTACCAAGGTCCGCATGTTACCGTGCAGGCCGTTGACAAATAGCAAGGCTCTGGAGAGTTCGTCAAGTTCCGGCACCTGTAAACTTAGCCGAGAAAACTCCGTTACGTACGATTCAATTGACCCACGCTGTTGGATAGAGAACATATCCAACCGCACTCTTTCCCCATCATAGTGCGGGCCATACACTCGCGCTAGGGCGCTTTTCAAAGAATGCCAATCCGAAAATTGCTCACCTGCTTCCAGGGAAGAAATTAGCCAAAGACGCTCATTCCCAGCGAGGTAGCTAGCCGCAAAGTTAACTTGGCTCTCCGGGTCACCTTGAGGTGAGCACTTCAAGGCTAACTCGACCGTAAATACCCATTCTTTGAACTCGAAAGGGTTGCCATGGAAAACATTCGGTTCTCTGGTAACGCGTTTGACGCTCGGGCTTGTCTGGGAGAGAGAACGCGATCGACACGGGGCTAGATCCGGAGGACTTGAGCTTGATGTAGCAGGTAATTGATGTCGTCCAACTGTAGCAGCCACGTTGTCCCGAGCGCGGCGGATCTCACGGAAAGCGGCGTATAGTAGCGGCCAGGAGCACAAGGCACGTCAAGGGGCAAACGATGATCTCAACCATCCTCAAGCTACCAGTGTAGCAGTATAGACTTGATTGATTGGAGAATTCGTCGAATGATGTTCAAACCAGAGGTTATAAAGCAAAAGAAAGGTGAGAACCGCAGGAGTGAGAATAGTAGGAACACAAGGTGTTACCATAAGACAAGCAAGAAGTGTCAAGGTAAAACTATTACAATCACCCCCTGACGCCACAAATGATTGTCTTGAAAATAGCCAATTTACAAGCACTGGCAAAACAGCCAGCTAATGTCCTCAATTGGCCAGAACTATACACAGGCAGATAGTAGAACACCTCTTCTAGCGCTGAGGACATGTCTCCCATCTTCCTTTAGGGGTTTTCTTGAAATAAACGTTTTTGAATTTTTCCACTCGACCATGCTGAAATACGGCCAAAGTCATACATGCGCAGGAAAGCTCGCCCCTCCGCGGCGTCTCCTCAGCAATTTCTACTCCAACACTAATCCCAAGGCCGCAGAACAAAGTGTATTGTTAACTCTGACAAGGAAAAGCAGCGGTGATCACTTGTCACTCCAAACGACAAGCTTCTCCTTGCGCCACCAATAATTTTTTGTGCGACTGTTGATGCAAAAGTGACTAAAGTCCTGAGAGCAGTTTTTGAATTTTATTGCAAGATGCACCGTGAGATCGCGTGCTCTGTGACGTAGGACGACGCTTCCTGGATCACGACAAGCGGCCATCGATCGCGAACGTGTCTGGAACGCTACTCGGAACACACCATGATGGCAGAGGTAAGATGAGCTGCATTTCCTGCTTGATCTGCTGAGAACCCCCACAAACTGTCCTAGGAGTGTTGAAATGGCAGCAAGCCGTTGAAATATGCCCCTCGTACAGCATGGAGAGTTATTCATCTTTCACACTTACCTCCTGCAATCCCGAACATAGTCCAACAGCAAAAGTCCCTTGTTTTCATGTCGATGCTCGACGAAAGCTGCTAGCTCGGTCGCTTTGTGTTGACTGGCACGCGAGCAGCACTGGCTGCACGCACTTGTCGCGTGAACTGCATGACAGATTTCTTACGTCATAAAGAATGTGATTTCATCATCATTTTCACTGGTCTTCGACCTACATGGTCAGGGAAAGTCCCGTTTCGTAGGCCTACAACACGGTCAGCGTGTTCTCATGGTTCTTGAGCGCAGTAACTAGTAGTAGTAGTAACAACACAAGCGTGATCACTTCCAGGCCAACGGGCGTTGCAAGGCGAGTAACAAGCGCACTTTACGAAGGTTACTCTGAAATCTTGTGAGCCGTGATCACGGAGATCCACGAGACTTGGCATTCTTGCGTCACAAGGCACTTGACTTCACCGTGCCTCTTGTAGTAAAATTCAAAAACTGCGCTCAGGACTTCAGTCCCTTTTGCATCAACAGTCGCAAAAGAATATTGGTGGCGCAAGGAGAAGGTTGTCGTTTGGGGTGACAAGTGATCACCGCTGCTTTTCCTTGTCAGAGTCAACAATACACTTTGTTCTGCGGCCTTGGGAGTATTGTTGGAGTAGGAAACGGTGAGGAGACGTCGCGGAGGGCGAGATTTCCTGCGCAGTTATGATTTCGTTAGTATTTCAGCATGGTCGAGTGGAAAAATTCAAAAAAGTTTATTTCAAGAAACCCCAAAAGGAAGATGGGAGACATATCCACATCGCTAGAAGAGGTGTTCTACTATACTATCTGCCGGTGTGTCGTTCGGGCCTATTGAGGATGTAGCTGGCTGTTTTGCCAGTGCTTGTAAATTGGCTATTTTCAAGACGATCATTTGTGGCGTAAGGGGGTGATGGACCTCGTCTTCTGGGATCCTGGCATGGCTAAGCGGTACTGCTCCAGGATCTCTTCTAAGGTGAGGCAATGTTGGCTTGATGGAGTTTTGTTCATAGCTTGTTCGGATACGCTGTGGCGTGACTCGTTTCTAGACCCAGAAATAATGTGATATTTCGGCCATTTTTGAGGGGTAGGCAAATTTCAAGATTCCCTTCAGAAACTTTTTCAAGGGCTTTGCACAATCCATCCACACCACAAAGGGAACCTACCTGCAAACTTTGAGCGAAATCGGACAGATCCACTTGCACACATACTTTGGTATTCTCAGACATGCTCTCTTAAGGTAACTATCGTTCACACGCTTTAGGAATAGCACATCACATGAACAGATTGCAATACGAAGGACACAACCTGACCAGGCTTGCACTTGAAATTTGGCAAGGAGAAAGAAAAATCATCAACATAGAATAGTCCAAGGAAAAATTGCACCAGTGCTTAAACTCGAAAAGGCCTTTTCTAGATCTCGGTTAGGGCCGGGTTCCACTGCGGCTCCACTGCCCCGCTGCTCGTCTTTCGCGGCTTGAAACGTCATCATTCCCATAGTGACCGCGGCTCGAGCTGGAGCAGCGAGTCCGCGGCTCATCGCGAGCTTTTGCTACGATTCTTGACCAAAAACTGCGAGCCGCGGTCGCGGCTCCACCTGTTTCCCGTACTTTGCATTGTTTTGTACGCCAGAATTTTAAAATTCAAATTTTAATTCGTTGCGCAGGCCAGAACACAAGGATTTGTTTGATTTCGCGCGCGCAGGCAGGTGAAACGTCATCAAAAAGTGTGGACCACGACCACGGTACCGCGAATGGCGAGTGACAGTGGAACCGCGCTGCTCCGCGGCATGCAGCCAAGTGCCGCGGAGCAGCGGAGCCGCGGAGCCGCAGTGGAACCTGGCCCTAAGGTGAATAACAATTGGAAAATTCAGTCAATTCTGAACCATACTTTTGTTCGATAAATATGGCGGTAAAGACACACCTGGCAATATGGTGGTAAACACACGCCTGCCCACACACGCTCTCTGATTGATGTTCGGCAAATCAAACACTGCCCAAGATAACATTGGTACCACTGTGATTTCGGCTGTCAAAACAGTCACCTCTAATACATTATCTCTCTTCTCTCTGTAATTGTGTTCTGTGTGACTTCAGTTGAACTCACCTCGCCACCACCATACAACTGCCTTGAGCAATGGCTGATATTGGCTGGTGCTAGTCCTACGGAGGCACTGGCCTACGCTACCGCACCACTTGTCACCAAATTGCAATTGGACGAGTTGAAAATATCAACACTCGGAGATATTGTACTGGAGTTGCTTCTCAACTTCAACCTGAGGCTGGTGAATAGTTTGAAGACCTGCGTGGGTATGTATTTAGTATTTGAGCCGAAATCAGCGAAAACGACCCTTAGAGGTTTCGTAATTTTTTCAAGAAAAAGGTCGATTTGTGACATTCAACGATTTTTTGATCGTGCTGCGAACAGCGCGACGAGTTCTTCTTGAACTCCTTGCTTGAATTTATTTGAAGTTAGTTAGTTGAAGTTGTGTCGAGTGGCGACTCGAGTGTTCCTTGATCTTGTTGCGATGCCTGCGGACGCCATAGGTGTTCACGGAGCACACACGGAAGTCATTGTGTACAGCTAGCTCGAGCCTGGTGGGGAGTGGATGCTGAAGTAGCCGCTGAAGTTCAGAGTGATGATGAAACGTTCTTTGGTTCCGACATTGCCTATGGATGAGGAGTCATCACCTGAGATAAATTCTGAGTCTGGGGCTAGTGACGGCAGCGACGTCGTGTCGTCAGATGCGGAGGAAGAAATGGAAGACATTGCGGAATGACTCCACGCAGGATGCAGCTGCAAAATAATAAGTCGATCATGTCCCCGCACTCTTCAGCTATTCTTTGTCATTCTAGCTGCTTACTGCACTATTTCAAAAGTATTCAAGCTGCCTACCGACAATAGAATGCTGAATATTTATTGTACACGTACATCGTATACATACATTGCACCAATTTGGAGTACGCCTTGTATATTGGTGTATAAACCGGTTTTGAATCGGAATATTGAACTTTTTCTTGGCTGAGGTCCTTCAGTAGATGTGTTTCAACAAATTTCTAACCAAAAAGAAATTTTGAAAAATTTGACCCTGAGGGCTGTTTTCGCTGGTTGAGGCCCATTTCTGTGTTATTGGCTATGATTATGTTTTCAGACGGTGCGCCGAGGAAAATATTCAATTGGAGCAAGGAAAACCTGATTTACTTTGGTGAACTCTATCGAATAACTTATGCCACACCGTTTTCCTTGATTCAATTTTGTTTTCGTTTATTTGTCAGACGTATTTGTTACACCACTTTGAAGAAAACCCAATGGTCTGTCTAATGATTGTGGCGTGAGGACAGGTCGGGAGGGGGGGGGGGGGAAATTCCCTGTAGCAGGGATCGTGTAACTGTACTGAAAGGCGCCATAGTGCATGACTGCCATCGACTAATTCTTATCCTGTTACATTGACGTGTCCTCTTTAATCCATCGGTCTTTATTTGCCTACAAATGCTTTTTCTCCTATCCGTGTTCTAAGCTCGCAATACAACGTGCCCCACAGACTTAGCACCAGATACATTACCTTGTGGGGTAGGCGGCACGTGTCTTCACAACAGTATACAAACGATACCCACATGCCACTGTGAACCGGGCCTTACTGGACGGCAGTGCCAAACAGGTGAGTTCATGTATTAATGGTTCAAAACAGTTATTCGCTACTTATGGATAGTTGTTTCCAAACATCTTTATAATAGATACCGACAAATCTCCAGGAGACATTATTGATCGAAATTGTTGAAAGTGATCATTTGCCGATTACGGTCGCGTTTGCGAATGAGCGCTGTCTGCAAAGTTAAACAATTCCTATGGTCCAGCAAAGGAGTGGCAAGTGCAATTTTTTTAAGTAAAGCGTAATATATCTATTATTGTACTGAATACACACTTGGATGTCTTAAATGCTTCTGGTTAGCTACTGAAATTGAGATTTAAAATGAAGGTGGGTCTGCCTTCCTCAACGGCACACGGCATGCCATGACACCGGATATCTACAATTGATGCACCGCGAGTCTGTAGCGTCGTTAAATCGATAGGTTTTCACTCCATTTGCACTAAGAAAGTACAGGACCGTGATTAACATTTGAATTATTCGTTGAAAGGGAGGAAAAACACAAATCGAGCGATGAAGGCGTCTTCCAGCGCATGATATTGGCGTGCATTGTCCGACGTGAAACGTTCTAATTCTGAAAATTGGACATCAACAGACGCTTATGTCGTGGAATCTTACTGTAACAGGTTTATTTATGCTCTGTATTTGTATTTCCCACTCAATACCATGTACTACCAGCTAGCTGCGGATTAGCACACTCTTGCTCAGTTTGTTTTGCTCTTACATGATATACATCATAAAAATAATACCTATCGAATGTTTGATGGCCGTGTGTAACAAAGAGCTGGCACTCTGTAACCAAACTAGGAAGGCCAAATCTTTTCACCTAGTGCTTAAATCAAGATCAGCCAGTTGTCCTACTTGACGTGTATCTGTATTGCAGATATCGACGAGTGCTCGGATGCATCACTCAACAATTGTGCGGATCCTGCTACTGCCATATGTTTGAACACGCATGGATCGTTTGGTTGCGAATGTAACACTGGGTTTGATGGAAACGGTCGCTTATGTCAAGGTAATTCAAGTGTAAGAGCAAGTGTGATACTGGATACTATGGTGATGGTCGTCTATGTGAAGTTAACATTCTAGTGAGAAATAAATTACGCAATTACCTTGATATACAGAAACGTCCGGTCACTCTTGTTGTAAAAATATCCCCAATTCTATCTTGTGTTGAATATGTGTCAAGATAAAATAGAAGCACTGGGACCTGTATTATTCGACACCAAACTAGGAAAAGCGATCGGTGAAGAGCACAGGCAACCGAAATAAATATTTGAGCTTTACCACACAATAACGACCCTTCAGGCTTAATGTGTTTTTGCTAATTAATCATAATAGCTCGACGTTTGTTGTATATCCGGTCTACAGATATCAACGAGTGTACCTACACACCATCACCCTGTCATGAACACGCTAACTGTACTAACACTGTTGGATCGTTTTCATGTACGTGCACGGACGGTTACCAGGGAGATGGACTCCAATGTGAAGGTACATTGCATGATAAGCCGTTTAGGCAACGAAATTGTAGACAAGATTTCCTTCCAACCATTACTTGTTCTTGTTCTTTACAAAGTGGAATAAAACTGAATCTGCAATAGTTCTGAAAGGCAAAGAGCGACACGTGTACATGTAGCCTCAAGCAGAAAAGCTGGCAACGCAAAAGGAAACATGAAGCCAAAAGAGATGCCTAGCTCTGGCGTACATCGTAGAGGTCACTGCGGATCCGGTGCACTGCGCCCCAAAGGTGCAGGCACGGCGCCCCAAGGAGTGACGACATCCATAAACTGCATCGCATCATGCAGATAGAGCGATAGCGTACCGAAACTAGTTGTACAAAATACAAACAAAACAAAAATAACTGAGAGAAGCGAAAATATATAAATCGAAAAGAAGAAGAGAGAGAGAAGAGAGAAGGAATTTAATTCTAATTATTTAGAGCTGGACAGATATTGTCAAGGAGACATGCAGATACACAATAGAATCGACTCGACTGCATGTAGAGTACCTGACTGTAACTGCAGTAGAGTGGAGCACGCACGTACGTGATCAACTCGGGAATAGTGAAAGGTGAGAGAAACAAAATACAAATAAATTCGAACGAGCAAATACAATAATTGTGAATTCATGTGCAAGTGTCTGTAGCAGTGTGTGTCTGGGTCGTCGTCTCCTCCAGCCCGCTGTACGAGGCTCTGCGAAGTACGCTCCCATGGCCAGTGATGGTGGGGAGTCAGCCGGGAGCCGGAGGACTTGCCCAAAGGGCCTACCCCTAGCTTTCAAGATGATTGTACTGAGAGGAACCGCGCCGGTACGCTCATAGATCCTCCCATTCCTAAACCGATTCGGGAACACAAAGCCGATTTACGCCCTCAGCTGTTTTCGGTGGAAGGCCTCGATACGGCTCAGCTGCTGTTTCGTTCGTGCCCATGTTGCACAATTGTAGCAGAGTACAGGGAGTACAAAGGCATTTTAAAGCCGGATGCGGAGATCCTCCGAGACTAGCGACCTACTGATCCACAGCGTCCAGAGTTTGCCAAAGGCAACAGTTGCCAGTTGCTGTCGCCCTAGCATATCCTCGGCATCACCTAATAGGGACCCGAGTTTCTTGGTGGTTCGCCACTCCTACTCGATGCGATCAGTGTGCTGTTCGATGTGCGTGTGCTCTGTTTTTGTCTCATTCACTTTCAAATCCCATTCGAGGAGCTTGTTGGATATGGTTGGAAGGAGGGTCCACAGCCTTTCACCATCAGTAGTCATGAAATCAACATCGTCGGCGTAGGCAGTTCCAGTTAGTAACCCCAGGGAGATATCGGCAGGGGGACGTTGTAGAATAAGAGGCCGAACATCTGCCAGCGCACCGTCAAGGTACACAATGAAAAGAACAGGAGACAACGAGTCACCTAGGGGTGTGCCGCGGAGAGTGGGGAATGACGGGCCCTTAGCGGATGGGAGTACAGCCCGCAGTACGGCTGCTAGCAAAGGAACTAGCATCGAATGAGCTGGAGGCTCGGGCGAGGGAAGTAGAAGCAAATAATGATACAGCACACATGTTTCATGCAGTCCATTTACTCCAGCGACAGAAACAATAGCCTATCACTGTGCATGATGAAACAGGTAGACAAGTAATACAGCCAGTCTCAGTAGCCATCCAAATCACCGACAACTTTTCTAAGCTGTACACGCCAGAGCCTGTTGCACTGTTGCTGTGGCGGCCGGGCCTTGCCGACCAGGATTGCAGTATTCAGTTCCGCCGGCTTGAGTGGCCCATTTCTGAGGCAGAGGTGACACAGGCAGCTGGAAAGTTGAATAATGACAGGTAACATGCCAGGGGAGCTGCTAAAGTACTCACCTGCCCTCCTCTACTCCAATATCGCCCAGCTCCTCAACTCTACCGTCGAGACAGGCCTACCCCTGAACAGCATGGGTAGTGGGTCACTTAATCCGTTACAAAAGCCTGGTAAATCAAGGGGACCAGTCGCTCAACTACGGCCCGTGGTTTTACTCACAGCCCTCAGGAAGATTCTATCATTGATTGTGCTGCGGAGGATCAACAAGGACGTCAACAACTTTGTTGCACACAAACAGAGTGGTTTCCGCCGCAGCAAAAGCGCCAAAGACGTTGTGTGGTCATACCGATGGTTGGCGGCTCGATGCCAACGCTATCGCTGTGCACTGGATATCCTAGGTATTGATATGTCAAAAGCGTTTGACTGTATACGTAGGCCACGGCTCATCTCGGTGCTGGGATCGTTCTTGCAGCCGGATGAAATCCGAATGATCAGTTTCCTTCTCCAGGACACCGTACTGCACTCCTATACTGATAAGAAACTAAACAGTAAAAATGAAATTGCTGGTTTGTACAATAGCATACTGGGTAATGTTTCATTTCGCACTCAGATAATCAACAGGAAAAAAACACAATTCCAAATATGAGGAAAGTGTTCAGGAGACTTGTTGGCCTCAGCCGACACGTGGTCTAGGCATCATCGAGACGTCAAACAGACCATGAAAAGATAATTCACTAATCAATACGTCTCCAGGTCGAGCATTTAGGGACCTTTCGCACCACGCGTACGGATACGAAACGAATGCTGATTCGTCACCTAGGTTCGAATATTCGTTAGAGTCCGTGCGTCAAGGAACGAATGGTGGCACTGAAGCCACATTTACTTTCCGTCGACAACTGAACCAGGTTCTGTTCGACGTCCGACATTCTCGACACGGCATGTTGGGAACCTCTCCAAATGAGGCTCCTTTCTCTTGCCCATTGCGTAGCAGAGTTTCTACCGTGATCCCTCCCCGCAGTGTCAACCCCAGCATCCAGCTCAGAGCCAAGGCCGCAATGGCCCGTGATCATGACGCTCGTCGGGGAGTGAAGGCCTTGCCACATCTGCAGGCGGGCAAGCGGGTGATCATACACGACGGATACAATGATCCAGCCAAGCCGTGGACCGTGGTGGACCAGTACGGGAGGCAAGTGGGAGTAATGGACGGTGTCCGGATTCTGCTTCGTAACCGCCAACATGTCAGAGAATTGGTCTCACCTGCTGCTGCATCGTCTGATTGGCCTGAGTTTGTTGCCTCCGTACCCAAGTCACCGCTGTCCACGCCTCCTGTTAGTGTTCCGGTTCCGACTAGCCCAGCCGCACCACAATCGGCGACAGGTAGTGAGCCATTAGTGCCAGCGTCAAAGGAAGCTGAGGCCCCTCTCACGCGTACTGCACTTGCTGACGCCTCATCCGCGTGTTTTTCGCCTCGTCCAGTTTCTCCTAGCGATGTCTGCAGGGATCAGACCAGTCCACTAGGCAGTGCGTCTCCCAAGCGATTTAATGATAGCATGAAAACCCGTTCTGGACGTCAGGTAACCCTTACAGAGAAGGCCAGAGCGGCTTATGGATGACTGCTGCTGCTGTAGGACAGTGTGTCCATGGACACGTAGAGACCATTTTTCCGCTTTTTGTGCTGAAGTTTTTAGTTTTCTTCCTCCTTCCCTTTCCCTCGTTCACAGCCGCTTGTCGGTAGTATGTAGTGTGGTTGTGTTTTTGTTTTTGTTGTTTTTTCTCAGTGATTTGCAGTTTTGAATGACTGGCGCATGGCATGCGCATTCGCTTCGGTTTTTTCCTTCTTTTCTTCTGTTTTTTTTTCTCTTCAATTAATTGGCTTTTCCTTCTTCACCTTGTTCCTTTATTTTGATTTCTTCTTCTTCTTTTTTTATTTGAAGGGGGAGATGTAGTGATGTAATCATGTACATCTGTATAGTGTGCGCATGCGTGCATGCTTGCAGTAGAGCACTCGCAGAGCTTGAACACGAAGCCTGCAATGGCTACCTCCAGACTTGTATTGTTGTAGTGTTGTCCATCTACAATGACGACATATGTATGCTGTCGCCTGGCCTTTGCACTATTACGGTCAGCTATTATGTGCATTCTCGGAGCTAGATCTTCGCACCACCGACCAGTCAACGCACTCCGGGAGTTGGCGGTGGTTGAGTGAGGGCCGCCTGTGAGTGGCTGAGAGACAATGGCAGTTTACATCACATTTAGAGGTCTGGATTTTGATTGTTCTTGTCTGAAGTTAGTTGTACTATGATTGGATTCGTTCCATGTTGGTTTTGGGTATTCCGCCTGGTTTTCTTCCGAAGTGCTGATTGTGGAGGTTGGCTTATTGATGTTCTTTTTCTTTCTTTTTCTCTTCATTTGTGTTAACGTCCTTCGTCTTGGCAACTTGTGTTTTGTTATACGATACCATTCTATTCAGTTGAAATTTGGATGCTACACTTTGCTGCTCATGGATTAGTGTTTTTGCAATAAAATGAAAGGACTCAACGGGTACATAGTGTGTACCTAGATACCATTATAATTATTCACAAAAAAATCTTTTTTGAAAGGCTGTGCACATAGTAGCCATATTGCGGAATAGTCATGGTTGTGCGTATGAGCATTTACAATAGAATGCATTTCTAATGACTTTGTTTTGATATGTGTTTATTTCTACTGTCGTGTGTACAGTGCGGTATTGTTGCATGGAAAACATTCCGGCAAGAAACAGGAACCAGTAATGTTTACCCAATGAATGTAATTTACAACAAGACCAGAGCGGACACTGTGCTACGTATCATGTACACTGCAACGTTTGGATCATATCATTACTCATCATGGAGTACATTCACTATCTCTATTCTCATCAACAACACAGACTGTCAAGATCCTGGTCCTATTAGAAGTGGTGTGTCAGGTTTGGAGTCGGGAAATGGTGTTGTTCGCACCATACTTCCAGGAGCAATCAGTGGTGTGTGTCATATCAATACTGCAGGTCCATTGCGCATCACCACTAAACTAGCACGCAACAGTGGCAAAACAATGTACGAAGGGTACTACCAAAACAGTGGGCAACGCATCACGTCCAGTCTTCACGTTGAAGAAATGTGTCCCAACAGAATTGAGTAAAAACATTTCATCATCCAATGCATGCATGTACATCTAAAAATAATTGCCATTCATGTCGTCCTGCAAGTACTTTTTCTTACACAATATTTGGATACTGGTGTCTCACACAATGTCAAATTGTTGTTTTCAGATTTTCCTTTTCTGCTCTCTTTCTTTTTGTTGATTGTTGTTTCCAACGTTTGATACTTCTGACACAACATGTATACAGTAGTCACGTGACCATGTTTTGATTCACCGACGACTTTTTGGATTGGATTGGATTTTTATTTATAGTGGTGACTATAACAGACAATTGCCTAATAACAATAGACCCACTCGAGGGAAAGATGCAAAAAGATATGAATAATTAATATAATAATAGACTACCGGTATTGGATAGGTGATCATGTTCGCATTTTGCATAGCTGAAAGTCATAATTACTAGCGTGAAAAAGCAAGGCATTGGGGTAACAGTTTCTTAAAACGGGCGGAGTTATCCACACAGCGAGCTAGAGGGTGCAAATCATTCCACAGCTTAGCACATTGGAAGGAAGCGCCATGACGGGCAAAGGCAGTTCTGAGCATGGGCAACTTAAGAGTGCGTGATACAAGGCTGCGCGTTGCAAGACCATTATTTAAACGCTCGAACATTTGACTTAATGTGACACTACAGCGGCCTTCCAAACAGCGCCACGTCAGATACAGTAATTTCTTGCAATACATGGTTGCCAAACGATCTAGACCAAGTCTCGCAAATAAAGGGCTTGATGGGCTACAAAAACCAGTATCGTACACTGAACGCAAAGCTCGCTTTAGCATTCGTTCAAGCCTACCTAACTGGGTTAAGGAAAGGCCAGCAGAAAAACAATTTGATGCATATAGAAAATCTGGCAACACTAGGCACTTTACGAAGGTTTCTCGGCAAGTCAGCGGAATATTGTGTCGATTTCGGAACAGAATACCAATTTTACTGGCTAGTTTGGAGACCATAGAATCAACTTGAGTGCTCCAAGAAAGATCCTGGTCCAAATGTATTCCAAGGTACTTTGCACATGTCACTTGCTTGAGCTGCACTCCATGGCAGTAGACTGCAAATTGGTGGTCAGTAATATGTGGCGTAGACAGGAAGAGCACTTGTGTCTTCCGAGCATTTAGAATTAAATTGCGGTTTGACAGCCAGGTACTAATGGCTGAGACAGCTGCAGACAGGGAGTTGCTAAGCGCATTCTTCTGCGTACCGCAAACATACAATAGAATATCGTCAGCAAATTGAATAACTTTCACACAAAACTCGGAGACAATGGACTGGATCGAACGAACATAGAGTACAAAAAGCAGCGGACCAAGAACAGAGCCCTGGGGAACGCCACACATGCAGGGGAAAGGAGGGCTATAGTTCTCAGCAATGTGCACTATTTGGCGACGATTGGACAAATAGTCGGCAAACCAAACTAATGCTGAACCAGATATGCCAAGCTCAAACAAATCATTAATGAGCACTTGGTGCCTGACCTTGTCAAATGCTTTGGACATATCCACGAGCACAGCACCAGTAATTTGTCCGGCATCGCGAGCGCGAACAAACGTGTCCGTGACGAAAACTAGAGCGTCTTCCGTTGAATGTTGACGTCTAAAGCCAAACTGACAGGGAGGGTACAAATTCTCCTTGTCCAGAAATGAGGATAGTTGTCTATGGACAATTCGTTCTAACAGCTTCGACACAATTGGCAGGAGAGACACAGGGCGATAATTTCCCGGATCTTGAGGATTTCCAGCCTTGAATACCGGCGTGACATGTGCTAACTTCATGCCGTCCGGCACAGAACCAACAGCAAGAGATGCATTAAATATCAATGTTAAGGAGGGAGCTAGCAAATCAGCGCAGGACTTCAGAAGAAATGCGGGTATTCCATCACTGCCTGTCGCTTTGCTGGTGTCCAAGGAACCCAACAGTTTACGCACACAACCTATTGACACCGAACTGAAGGATGTAAAACCTTTAGGTCCCACTGGGCCCTGTGGAAGACACAGTTCAGGTGCTCGTTGTTGATCACTGACAACATCAGCAAATACACACCCAATGTTGCTTGCAGAGCATTGTGGAACGGATTGAACACGTTGTCTTCCGGATAACTCGTTCAAAACCTTCCACGTTTTCCTGGGATTACCTTGAACACTGGTGAACTTAGACTGAAAAAAATTCGTCTTCAATTCACGGTTCATACGAGTCACGATACGCCTGGCTTCTTTAAACGCATCGTAATCAGTCTGGCACTTAGATTGCAGCCATTTCCGATGAGCGTGGTTACGTCGTCGTATCAACAGGAACAAATGTTCATTGACCCATGGTGAATGCTGTCTTGGTCGGGAAGACGCGTGGCGCAATGGAGCATGTGCATCAAGAATGGGCACAACCTTAGTCAGCCACTGTTGCCACATGTCATCGCAGGACCCACGAAGTTCACAGAGGTTGGCGCAAGATATATCCATACGAAGTGATGCCAAGTCCATTCTCTTGAAGTTTCGATAAAGTCGCTGAGAAGGCAATGCTGTCGGCACTGGTTTAACACAAATCTTGGTTGCAATAGCACAGTGGTCGCTGAACGGAACTGGACACACATCAGGCGGGGATATGATTTGAGCTGTACTATAGACATGATCTAATAGAGTGCAGCTCCCTTGCAGCGTTATGCGTGTTGGAGATTTTACAAGTTGATGCAGGCCTAAGCTGGTTGTGATGTCATGCAAGGAAGCATGCTGGGATGTGGGAGATTGACTGACCAGATCAACATTAAAGTCACCACAAAGCAGAATATTCTTGGCTTCTCCCGATGCCTTGTGTAACATGGCCTCGAAAGTCTGCCAGTAAGCTAGTGACTGACTCGGTGGGCGGTAAATACACCCGACAAGAAGAGGTTGTGGGTGAGCTTTGATCTCTACCCAAATGCATTCAACGCCATCGGCTGTTAAGTCGGGACGTAGGTGACTAAACAGTGAGTTATTAACATACAAACATACACCACCTCCGGGTTTGTCGCGCCTGTCAAGCCGAAATAAAGTATAGTTTGCGATTGACATCTCCATCGACGGAACGGAGTTGTTAAGCCACGTTTCACAAACAGCAGCAATGTCAGTTTTTGTGTCCGATATCAATTGGGACAAGTCAGTAAGTTTATTACGTAGACTGCAAATATTCAGGGACAGTGTCCGTATACATCCAGGGTAGAACGGGGTTGCGCCTGGGTTCATTTTACTACTACTAGCCATGGTTAATCTTCAGTACTTTGTTCCTTCGTCGGCATGGACGCCTCGTCATGGAAGCGCCACTTTCTGACTGTGTGGCCGATGGTGGCAGGCCAAAACGCAGGCGTGAGTACGGTGTTGATGACATCAGCCGGAATGGTAACTTTTGCGTATGCTGTGCCGAAATAACGATTTGTGGCAATTGAACAGCGGATGATGTCAATGTTACGATCTGCACAGTACCTGACAATAGATTGCGCCTCACAGCCAACTTCAACATTTCCTACATGCAGCACTGCAAGGCGTTTGCGTTCTACTCCACTTAGAACACCTGGGGCTGCTGTTACAGTCACCTCCTTCACATACTTCGATGTGACAGATGAACGTACATGTAGTTCAGTACTGCCAGTAGCACTCGTGCCGGGATGTGAAGATGACCCACCTGATGCACGTGGGCGGTTTGGGCGTCGTGGACCTTGGGTTTGCCAGGACGAGTTCGAATCTTCAGTGCTGCCAGTACTCATACGAGCGGGTTTGTCGGTTTGCTTGGTCTGCTGGGTGTCGGTGGCAGTTTGCATAGACTGATGCTGTACATGTTTGTGGGAGTACGGTTTGGGTTCACAGGCTGGGGCTGGAGCAGACTGCGCTACGGTAGCGTACTGACGGTTCCTAACGTTAGCTGTGCTTTGCGTCTTCGCGCCCTCCTGCTGCCCTTCGTTTTTCATCGTTGCAATTTCCTGCTGTATGTGCTCGATGGTGGACTTCATCTCCATGAAACCAGCCATCTTCATAACCATGCCTTCAAGGGCCTTTGTAAAGTTTGCTAGGGAGTCATGCAGTGAAATACAGCTAGCACAACTTACTGGGGCAGAGCTTGCGTTGGTCCCGATTCCATTAGTCCGCAGGATCGCCACAAGTTCTTGTCGGCTCAGCTTCGATTGACCTTCTTGGAGCACCTTCTTGGATCTTGCAAGGTCACGGATATTGTCATATGACATTGTAGCAAGGTCTACTTCTTCATTCTCACTCATGGTCTCACTCATGGTATGCAAAACGACTGAAGATGATCTTGGAAAGCACCGGAAAGGCGGAGCTCAAAAACTTGCATCCGCACTACAGTCAGTAGGACTTAGGTTGTTCCTCATTCTTCCTTCAATTTGGCAAATGCTTCTTTTTTTATACATTGTGTATTTACTCAGCGTTATTTACATTTATAGTAATAGGTTGTGCTTTCTATTGCTGTGAAGTGTTATAAGTTCGTTTTCGCCGCCGTCTCCTTCATACAATGCTTTTTTTCTTTTATATTTTATTTTATGAAAGTGCACATGCCTACATAGAAAAGAGAACAACAACATCAAGAGAACATAGGGGACTACAAAGGGCGTGTAGGTGCTATTGAGCTGTGCCAGTGAGGTGAAGTGCGCTCCCCCGACCAATGGTCTGGGGATCAAGGCGCACATCACGCCCCATGGGGGAAAGGGAGAGAAGAAAGACTGTGTGTGAAGAGTGAGAACCTGAGAGCCAGACAATAATGGAGAGAGAGAGAAAGAGAGAGAGAGAGAGAGAGAGAGAGAGAGAGAGAGAGAGAGAGAGAGAGAGAGAGAGAGAGAGAGAGAGAGAGAGAGAGAGAGAGAGAGAGAGAGAGAGAGAGAGAGAGAGAGAGAGAGAGAGAGAGAGAGAGAGAGAGAGAGAGAGAGAGAGAGAGAGAGAGAGGCAGAGATTGGGGGAGGGGTGGGGGAGGGGGTGGGTGAGTGAGGGAGGGTGAGTAAGTGAGTGCCAGGTTGGTTCAGGAAACTATGGCAATGGACCAACAGCTGCGTTGCTTTCATTGGGGGTGGGGGGCAATACGGATAAGTTATATCGGAGCTGCTGCCAGGCAGGGTAGTGTGCAGGCACTGGATCAGCGAGAAAGGGGCCACGAAAAGCAGTAAAAAAGAAAGAAGAGAAGAAAGAAACATTAAAGCAAAACGTTCTGCACTGAGGTGATTCAAGAGCTCTAGGGAGCAAGGTACAGTTCAGTGGGGTGAAGACAAG